CCAGCTAACTTTTCCAAGGGCCTACGCCAACGGGTGCTCGCAACAGCCGAAGAAGTGCCATACGGCTAGTGAATCCAGTGTTGTGTTGTCAGAAGATGCTGATACAAGCCCTTACACTTCCGTGGCCTACATCGACGCCAGGTGGCGATCGCATTTCGCCCCCACCCACCAGTGGCAGTCGCTCACCCAACACGCTGATTTCGCCTACCTGCGCACGCTGTCATAGTCCGCAGTGGCCAATCGGCGTGGCCATGTCAGACAGTTATTGATTTTTTCTACATGTTCAAACTTTAACTATTTGTACAGCTTTCATTTTCCCTGCAAATATTTAGTCTGATGAAGAGTTGCTGAAAACACATATGTTTGCCAGAAACTGAATTTTTAAATTAACTATGGGAATATTTACAGAACTTGCGTTTTTTTTCATTTACAGGCATAATCAGTCGTGTTCTGCTACAGATACCAATCACACAACTGCGCAGCCAGCCCTGGTGTATTACCATTGAGGGCGTACAACTCGAAGTCTCCTCAGAAGACGATGACGACGAGCAGGATGACCGCAGCGCTGAGAACTCAAACGCGACGGAGACACCAGAGAATAAAAAGGCTCGCCTATGGCAAGCGAAAAAGGCCTACCTGGACCGCCTGGAATCGCGCTGGTGGCAGGTACTTGAACAGCCAATCAGAATGTTCCCCTTTTGGGGAACTTGTTTTTGATAGGGATCAATCGACTTGTACGACTCGTTTGGTTTGTTGATTCGCCGTGGCTGCGACCGTCACAACCTATACTACAAATACAGAATCGGCATTACCTCCAGTAAATAAATTTGGCAATAGTGGGAACACCACCGGCAGTAGTATATACCAAGAGTCAACTTTCCCTAACTGCTCGCCACACTCAAAATGAGCATGAAAGCGGCAATTTGCCGGATGGGTCTTTTCATAGCAGTAGTTACACAGGGTGATACGAGAACCAGAGTCGAAAAACGCCTTTAAATCGCACGAAAAACCGTAAGAAGAAGGGAGTACTTATTCGTGCTGGGTTTGTATTTTGACGACATTCTTATCACCGCGGTGTAGTCGAGCCCACATACAGTTTTCTGATACGCTTGTAGGACCTCAGGACTTCAC